GGGTTAAAAAAATCTTTGACTTCTACATAAAAAAATTAAAAATTAAACTTTTTATGAGAAAATTTGATATTTTGGATTCAAAAATTTCTCTTCCTCTGTGTTAATCTGTATTTGATTTCTTTCTCTATAGACAGAGCACATAAAAAGCACGTGCCGTGTTCCTCCTTTTCCAGTTTAGATTTTGTCTTTAGTAGATTTAAAACCTGATTAGCTATAATAGGATTCCAGGATGTGGGCAGATGCCTACTGGTCACGGATGATAGCTCTTGCAATCAGTTTCTTCATTATTTCATTGGTACCACCATAGATTGGCTGAACTCGGGCATCCACATAAGCTTTTGCAATCGGGTATTTCCCACATGTATCCCCATCCTCTGTGGAGCTGTACACAATCATAGGCTACACTGTTTTGTAGCTCAGATGCCCAATATTTTGCCATGGAAGCAGGGGCAGAGTCCAGATGTTTCGTTTCATGCAGCTGCAGACAGCTGTCGACAAAAGCTCTGGTTACACATATGTGTGTTTTTAATTCTGCTAGTTTATGCTGCACAGTCTGTATGTGTGAAACTGTTTTCCCAAAAGCTTTTCTTTGCTTAACATAGTTCCTGTTTTCTTCAAACATGAATTCACAGGCAGAAATTGCAAAATCAGCAATTAACAACCTTTCCTGTGGAAGCTCTTGTATGAGGTAATAGAAGCCTTTATTCTCTTCTCCAAGTAGGGCACTAGCTGGCAATTGGACATCTTCAAAGAATAGTTCTCCAGTATCCTGGGCTTTTAATCCCATTTTATGTAGCTTCCGACCCTTGATAAATCCTTTCCTTCCATTTTCCACCAGAAAAAGGCTAATGCCATGCAGGTGATAAAGCTTCATGATTTGTAACCCGTGACTACAATCACAACATCACTTAACCAGCCATTAGTGATGAACACCTTGCTTCCATTGAGAATCCAATCACTTCCATCTTTTTTGGCATTTGTTCTTACTCCTTGTAAGTCACTCCCAGCCCCAGGCTCTGTCATTGGTGTGGCACCAATACATTTGCCTGCAGTCATCTGGGGGATGAAGTGCTTAATCTGTTCTTCTGAGCCATAGTTTGCAATATAGGGCATGACAATATCTGAATGAAGAGTAAAACCTGGACCTGAACAATTTATGTAGGATTGCTCCTCCCAAACAACAGCTGCTGAGTACAGGTCACCACCAATCCCACCATGACTTTCTGTAATGTTGACACCAAGCAGTCCCTGTTTTCCAGCTTTTTCCCAAAGCTCCCTACTCACTTCTCCAGCTTTCTCCCATTCTGCATGATTAGGAACCACTTCTTGAAAAAACTTTCTTACACTTTCCCAGAAAATGTGCTTCGAAGAAAAGATTCTTCTAATTCCTATATCTGTAAATCTTTTAGCAGAAGAACTTTCTAGACGTGCTTCCCCTCCAGAATGAGAACAGTTCATGGCGGGCTGGCACCAGGCAAGGCAGGCGCCCAGGAGGGGTAGGGACCCACTGACGAGGTGCACAGCCATGGCGGGACAGCGAGGGGCGGTGGTGGGGCTGAGGGACGAGGCTGCGCAGGAGGCTCTTCAGAGTGTCCTTGGCAGGCGTGGGGTGGGGCCCAGAGTTTCTTACTAAGTGGTGACTGGTACTCCAAGAAAATTTGATTTCCTTAGAGAAAACCAAATTCTGGTTTTATATCATTGTACTTTTGAAACTATATTTTGATATTAATGTTCAGATTAAAAAAACTTGTACTTCTCTTCAGATCTCAGGCAGCTTGATCACTCATAGAAGTCCTTTATTGACCCTTGTTTTCTACAAACCTTGTGCAGTTTTCTTATATCCATTAATTTTTGTCCTGTTTTTTAACCTCTTTCCCATTGTGCAGTAGTCATTCTACTTTAGAAGAAAAATTAATTTTCCTAACAAAACATATCCTTTACAAAAACATATCCTTCATACCCCATGGCTTCACTTACCTGGAATATTGTTTCTCTTACCATTTCTCGTTTTCATTATCATAGATTAATTTAGAATTCTTAACTTTCAATAGCTTTATTTTCTAGTGAGAACAGGGGTTAAGCAATTGTGAACTACCTGGCATGTATTGACATCCAGTAAATTAAAAGTATTTTATAATTTCTAGAATCATGTGCTTTCTCATAGTGAAGATTTTTCACTAGTAACATAGCACATGATTACTAACAGATCCAATTATCTTTATTTTCTTTGTAGTAAGAGGTCCAAAGTGGATAAGCTTATATTCAGTAATTAATATTTTAGTATTTTTTTCTTAAGTGGAAATGATTTAGATACTCAGTGAATATCCATAATTTAACTTAGCAAAATTCCGGGGGTGTAAGGTACCAATGAGATTTGGGGAGCTGTTTTTAAGTAGACAGGATATAACATCAAACAAGGATTGCCATACTCAAGCTATTTCTCTGTTAATTGGTTTTATAGGCAGTCTTCACAAAAGCAAGGGTCCAAAAAAGTTAAATACGTGAGAGTTTTATTTTTCTGTTGTCTTTAAACTTACTGATAGTCATTAAAAAGATTGCTTTTTATAAGGAGTCTTAGAGAAGCAGTTTTTTGATTCATTTAATCTTTTAGGTCCTTATGCATACCAATCAAAAACAACATCCCATTGTGTTGAGGATTCTTGGATTCTTTCCTTATAAGTGAACAATTTTGTCAAGATTACTGTAATTCTGAGTTGTCCTTAGTAAACTCATATTTCTCTCTCTCTCTCTCTCTCTCTCTCTCTCTCTCTCTATATATATATATGTTTCGTGCTTGTAATTTTTAAACAAAACTAGCTGGTGTTTTAGGATTTGGAGCCCTGAACTCCTTAGATGAGGACACATTTTTAAAAAGTGCCTACCTGAGACCTGAACCAAATCCAGCTATTTATTAAACTCAGTCTGATTCTGGACCAGTCCAATTAAAGAAATGCTCAAAGACAGAGAGCTCAAAAATACAAGTTTTCAGATCCTGAATCTGAGAGGAACTTACCCACCCATACCCTCTAGTTACAAAGGAGAGCATCAAGCACTGGTCTCCTGACTTCTCTTGGTTGCTCGTTGCTCCTGGGGATTGTTATAGGTCTCCTTTGGTTCCACTTCTGACAAAAAAACGTTTAAAGAAAACTTTAGACAAAGTAAGTTTAGCAGTGCTTATTTGAGCATTAAAAGATTTATAAATCAAGCACCACCAAAAACTAGAAGAGATTTAGAGATCTCTGTTTTAACATTATGAGCAGCAGGCTTTTATATGCTTAATGTGGAAGTAAAGTAGTTTCTTAATGGACTATAGGTATGTGTTTACCTTGTATGGGTAGGCTCTGGTGGAAAATCTCAACTTACATATCTGATGGTTAGTTGGCTGTGATAAGCTGAAGCTCGCTTGTTAAAAAAATTTGATCATTCACAAGGGATTCCTGTAAATTAAAATTTAGTTTGCTTGTGTGAAAATTTGGGACAAATATCCTCTTGCTTTAATTTATTTGGCTTTAATCAAGTATCATTGGGAAGTGGAGGTGAAAATTATATACACTAGCTTATCTGCAAAATCAAACTCAGTGTTGTGAGTTGTATCTGGAACAGCTCTTCTTGGTCACATTGTGTACTCATTTCCCCAACCTGATTACATTTTACTCCCGTTCTCTCAGTTTCTTAGTTCCCTGGCATTTTAAATAATTCGGGCAATTATGGAAGATTCCAGGTTTTTTTGATAAATTATTCCATGGCCTTATTAAGGCTTTATTGTCTGCAAAGTTTTCATTGTGTACATTGTGAAATCCCTTGGTCAGTTTCATTTTATATTAAATAAATCACATAGAGGATTATTCTAAGCAATTTTGAGTACAAGATTCCTCAGATTTAGAAGGATTTATTTTCAAACAGTGTTGGTGTCCTTTAATTTCTGTTTTCCTCTCTCCTTCCCTTTCTTTTACCTTCTGTCTCTGTTACTTTTGGTGTGTAGTTAGATTGCTATTTGCTAGTATTTTATGTCATACATGATCTACTTTTATAGATAAAAGACCCTTAGTTAGATAATAGAATGTCAGGATTTCAAAAAAATTTTTTTACATCTATTCCCTGACTAATTCTCATTGTTTTATTCATTGCTGGTGTCTGGTCTACCCAGGGGGTAGTCACTATGTAGTATTAAAGCAGTATTTTTAGTGTCTAAAGAAACTTTTCTATTTTTCCCTTTACATATTTCCCTCATATTTAGTTTATTAGGAATGTATATAGTAAACACTTCAGTAATGGTCCATTGACATTCTTTCCCATTTTAGCAGGTTTGTCTTTTATGAAGATTTGTTACTAAAGAAGATTATATATTAGGTTTAGGGTCTCCTTTTTTATTAAGAATGGGAGGTTTTAAATAATTTAGTAGTATGTACTTTTCATTGTAAATGTTCCCTTTTTTATTTAGAAAGCATATAAATAATTTGCTATGTTATATATCACTATCAGTTTCTCCAAATTATCAAAATTGCTATTCTTTAAAAGGTATTTTAAAAAATTATGATATTTTTGGATACAGTATGCAGATTTTTTAGCAGATAGTTTCTTATTTTCATTTTTGAAGCAATATAATATTAAAAGTTAGTGTAGCTTAATGGCAGGTTTTAAAATAAGATTGTCCTTGGGCTGGGATTTAGCTCAGTGGTTTCACTGCCTGCTGCTCAAGAACAAGGACCCGAGTTCGATCCCCGGTACCCAAAAAAACAAAACAAAACAACAACAACAAAAAAATAAAATAAGATTGTCCTCCTAGTGTGAAGTCTGACTCCCAGTTACTTTTTTATTATTTTAAGCAAGTGCCTTAACTTATATCCATCCCGCATATCTCATATGTAAGATAGGAATAATTCTCACTCACTTCTTCAGCATACTTGTGTTAAGTGATTACATATATTAATAGATGTGAAGCAATTTAGATAGTACTGGCACATACTTAGTCTTCAAATAATATTTATTTGTTTTGACTATTACATTAGTTGAATTTTTATTCATTGGAATGATGTAAAGAATTACCTTTGTCATGTAAACTCTTGGCTTGTCTACAATTGTTGCTTGTGTTGGTACCCTGTTGGTTCCCTATTATGTAGTATTTCTTTAGAATTTAAATATTTAGTATTTGATTTATATGAGCATACAGCCTTTGTTTTGGAAATATTTTTCCTCTGAGAATCTTCCTGTTCTCTTATAGGAATGTAGCTTTTGTGAAGACCCTCGCTTTGCTCGAACCGGAGTTTGCATTAGCTGTGATGCAGGGATGTGCAGAGCCTATTTTCACGTGACCTGTGCCCAGAAAGAAGGTTTGCTTTCAGAGGCAGCAGCAGAAGAGGTAGGTTGATTTAACCCATAGTTGGTGAATATGTTTATAAGATTTCTTATGTCTTATAATAGATACAAAGCAAAGAAGAAAATTTAAAATTTATTCTTAAAGTATTTGGTTAGATCATTGATCTGAAACTTTAAGAGTAAATATCTGAGTTTTGACAGTCTTAAAGCATGTCAGACTTTTAGAAAATATTAGAATTTTTATAGTGAGACTTGATAGATAAAATGAAACATTTCCAAGGTATTTTAACCATTATCAGTATATTTTGTATGAGAATCTGAAATTGTATTTGAGTAACCAAATAGAATTGTTATACTGTTGTACTGGTCAACTTTTCTATCACTGGAAAAAATACCTGACACCTACAATTTAAGATCTGCTTCCTGGTTCTATCAGTAAAAGGCCATAGAAGTTTTGGTTTGTGACTGTCCTTACGAGACTCACTCACACTGAAGGGTCTTGGTTAATGGCAGTCCCTATGGACCCTCTTGAAGTATGAACTGGACACTGACTTTTAAGTAATCTTTCATCCTTCCCTCTGGGCCACAGTCATGAACTGTGACACATCTCTTCATCTAAAGGCATGAACATTAAAATGAAACAAAAAACCCCTGTAATATTAAGCTAAATACTGTTTGTAACCTGTGCTCTGTATGTCTGTGTCTGTGGGCTAATTTGGGAGAATTTACAGGGAAACCTGAAATTCATCAGGATGTAGAACTTGGAACTCAGGCTTCTTTCTTGCAGGGTTGCCTCCCATGATTGATTAGATAGCTGCCCTGGAATAATAAACTGGCTTTTCTTCCTAGTTGCTGTCTTGCTCAGTGTACTCTTTTTCTGGGGAAGGGAATGTTGGCTGTAGACTATTTACTTTTTTCCTGGTTTATTATTGATACAGGAAATAATGCTGGAGATGAAGTATGAAATATTATATATATCCTAACCTGTTAGATGTCTGATTATGCTGAGCTCCTGTTCTCTAAAAATTGAAGAATGAATTCTAGGAACAACAGAGGTTAAGAGTAGGAAGATATTTATTGATAGGATAGATTTTGAGAGGCAGGAGGGGACCTAAATGGGTAGATGGGGACCCCACTCTATAGGGGAGTTTTTTGTAGTAAAACCCATGTGGGTTCAGCGTAGGCCACAGCCATGATCAACCAGTAAGGTTAAAAGTGTAATCACTTAGGGAATAGTGGTCTAATTGGGAAATAAGTCACACAACAAGTCTGACTACAAGTAAACGGTGGGTCCAGAGGTCCTGATAATCAACCAGGGTGACTAATGTCTGTCTAAACTTCATTAGGCCCAGTGTTTATCCTTTGAGGAGGTATACAGGTCTGGTTATCTTGTCCTTATCTTGAGTCCTGGTCTCCAACAGATGTGTCTGGCCTCAGTTGTGTTGTGTTTCACCTTTGTCTTGACTCTCTCGAGGACCTAGCACTATCTGACTGCCTATAGTATTTCTACCTAACTCAGTTGTCTATAATATTATGATAAGCACTTAGAGAATTAGAAAACTATAAAGGTTTCTGAACAGTGTTTCAGAATTCAAGATTTTACATAAATAGGTATTAGTGAGGTTTGCTTTTGAAAGTAGTCATTTTTGTTTATTTGTATGTGGTTATCCTGTACATTCAGATTCATGGAGTGTTACCGCATTTTAAAATTAAACATTTTAAATTAAAATAGATCTATTGTTTGCAAGCATAACTTGTCTCAGTTTCAGTTTTATATTCTCTTTAGCCTTTCTAAGAATTTTTAAAGACTTGTTTATCAAGTTGGATCTGTATTTTTTTCCCATGGCTTTTTTTTTTTTTTATGAAGACTTATTTATCTAGTGCAACACTTTATGAGGTGTTTTTACTTTAAATTGCTTTTTTTAAATTTATTTTTTATTAGTATATGTTTGCAGTACATATGATTATATTTATCCTGGGGGGTTGGCACATGTACATAGCACATATTAATTCTATTTTCATTCCCTATCCCTCCCATCCCTTCCTGTTTTTCCACCTCTTGGTCCTCTTCTCATTTGCAAAAGCTCTATTTCCATTTTTCTCCCAGTTATTTTTTTCTATCTCCCTCTCCCTCCCTCCATTTCTTGTTCCCCCTCCTGCCTGAAAAATACATCCCTACTTCCTATCATCTATCTTTTATTTTGCTCTGTATTTTTATTTTTTGGGTTTTCTCATGTAAAAGAATCCATGTGATATTTAAACTTGTGTCTGATTTATTTCATTTAATATTATAGTCTCAAGGTGTATCCATTTATCTATGAATGCCTCAAGTTCATCTGTCTTTTTGGTAGAGTAGTACTTCATTGTGTATAAGTACTACATTTTCTTTATCCATTCATCTGTGGATGGTCATATCGGTTGTTTCCAAGATTTATCTATTACAAATTGTGCTGCTATAATCATGGGTGTGCTTGTTTCACTGTAATATGATGATTTATTTTTTTAGGAAGATACCTAGAAGGGGAATAGTTGGATCAAATGATATTTCTTTTTTAATTTTTTAAGAAAATTTATTTTATTTTATTTTTTGGGTACTGAAGATTGAACTCGGGTCCTTGCGCCTGCACGGCAGGCGGCAGAACCACTGAGCTAAATCCCTGGCCCTTTTAAGGAATCTTCATACTGATTTCCATAGTGGTTTGTACTAGTTTACATTCATACCAACAATGTAGAAGGGTTCCATTTTCCCCCTAGAGCCTTGCCAGGGTTTGTTATTGTTTTCTTCATGATAGCCAATCCTTCTGGAGTAAGATAATATTTCAGTGTAGTTTTAATTTACATTTCTGTATTGGCCTTATACAGACTGTAAAAGAATGGCTGAAAAAATAAATATGTCAATTTCATATAATGATATTGTAAAATCCCCCCCCCCTTTTTGGTACTGGAAATTAAACTCAGTTTTATAGTCCCTGGAATAGTGCTTTATTACATTGTGAGGACCCATTTGAAGTTCTGTTCTTTTTGATCCACTTTGAAAGTATTCGAAATTCTTTAGAAGAATAGTAAAACCATGCTATTATGACATAATATGTGTTATTAAAAGATGTTCAGACAATGTTATGATACATGTTATTTTAAAAACAGCTATAGCACAGATTGTTATGATTGAAAATTTATGTCATTGTTTCATATTATGTAGTTATTCTTAAAATTATATTCCAACAAAACCTAAACAGTAGTTTCTTCTGTGATTAAAGTATAATTTTACTACTTTTGAACAATGTTATGTAGAAAATTTTCATTTCAATATAAGATTATTTATAGATGTTATTGATTTTTCTTCTTATAACCTTTAATAGATTGGAATCATTCATAGATTAAATTTAAAGGCCTCAGATGTTTGGCCACTGAACTCTGGTACCTTGATTTTGCTGGGAGAATCAGGATTGGTAGGAATGAATTCTTATTTATTTATTTTTTTTGGTAGGAATGAATTCTTGGTGGGTCAAATAGTTTTGACTGAGTTTGTCAAAAAGTTACGTTGCTTAAATTTAGATATTTTACATGGGAATTTAAGTGGCCTTTATGTGACTATGTTAGGCACTTAGTAATTTAAGCCTAATTTAAAAAATTATCTAAGATAACTTTACAGCTGGTAATTCAGACTATAATCTCTTAGACTTCAAATCCTCTCAGCAGTATTTTCAGAACATGTCCAGTTCTTATAAAATTCATTGCTGCTACCTAGTCCAAAATATCCTTTGTTGCCTGGATTACTGTAATAATCTAGCTCTTGCAACTTTTGCTTTTCCAGAGCAGAAGGTGGCACATTTTTTCAGTAGGAGCTAGGTAGTCAGTATTTTAGGCCCTGCAGGCTTATGGTTTGTGTCACTTGAACTGAACTTTATCATAATAGTATGAAAGCAGCCAAAGACAATAGATAAACAAATGAGTATGAATACATCCCAGTGCAACTTTATTTATAGAAACAGGCAGGGCCAGATTTGATCCCCCAAGTTGGCAACCCCCTTTCCAGGAAATAAGAGGGCGCTTTTAGCATGGTATAATCCCATTAAAATCTAAGTCAGATCTTGTCATTTCCTTGTCTAAAACCATTGGGCAAAGTTTTCCTTACTGATTATGTGTTCTGATTGTTTATCTTTTTCAAGATGTTGTGTATATTCTAGGCTTTCAGCTGCCTAAATGGTGTATTAACCAAAAACAAATGATAAGTGGTATAAGCATAAGTGGTTTTGACGTTGTTTCAGTAGCTTAATGCTCCAGGCTTATTTTGTTCCATCACTATCATCTTATTTTTCTTTTTGTTTTTAGTTTATTTCTTTATTTTTATTGTTGTCCTCAAGCTTGTTGTCTCATGTTCTCAACATGGCTTAAATACCTCTAAGAACTTTGTTTTTGCATTGTAACATTTAACGAAAAGAGGAAGGAAGAAAGGAATAAAAATTTCTCCTGTGTATCCACCTCAGTGTACTTTTTGATCGTCTAATGTGTCAAAACAGAGTCCTTATGGTCACTGTATCAGTGAGACAGCAGAGAAAATGAAACCTGATTCAATTTCTGTCAAAGAAATTGATCTTTGCAAAGAATAACACTTGTGAAGAAAATAATTGGATATCAGCAACTAACACAGTTTGCCACAGGGTAGCCTAAGAGGTTAGCAATTTTCTTCCCATTTTTTAAAATAAAATACCCATGTACTTACACCAAATGAAATAGATCTTTATAGCAGGCATTAAAAGAAGGAAAAGAAGAACTAATTGTTAAGAATTAAAAAAGAAAAAGAAATGTTGCCTTTCCCAATTTCCCCTCTTTGCTTTAGAGTAGAAAAAAATAAACACTTGCTGGGCATTGTATTCTTTGGTCCTTTTAACCCAATCTTTGCCTTTTTCAGAGTGATCTCCCAGCTTTTCTCTTTAGTAGTAGTCTTCTCTTTCCAAAGTTTTATTTCTCATGAGATTCTTTTTTTTCCCAGTCAGAAAGGTAAGTGACCCCATCACTTTGTATTTGAGCTTTTATTTCCCA